ATCCATCCAGATTTACAGCCATAAGCTGTCCCGCATGCAAAATCGCACAGGTGCATCATTACAGTGTAATTGTGTATACCGCGAAATTCGTTTACCCGAGAGCGCGCGCGTGCGTTAAATGCGACAATTATATAATATGTATACATATACTCGTGTATTTCAATCATCTCCCCCTTGTACCCGCGGAAGAAGGTGCACCTATACAGAGTGATAGGGGGAAAAAAAAAACAAAAAACATTAATCGAGCTCGCTACAGGTGTATGATTTTCCATTTCTTGATCGAGTGTAGGTCGGAGGGACGAGGTGACACCGGTGATTTTGTGTCGATTCGATGAAGCCTTTTTGTGGACGAATAGATAATAGAGCCTTTCATCCCAACTGAGCTTTTTTTGCCCGTACGAGCAAAGTTATGATGATGTACGAAAGATGGTCTGTTTAGGATAAAAGTATATATATACATATATATATATACATATATATATATATATACTGATGCACGGGAGACGAAAGTACATTATATAGATGTACAGCCTTCGACGGAGACGATGGACGTACGTGTAATTATATTAACGCATGGCTTTGTTAATCAGCGCGTGCGTACAACTGTGCAGAATAGGTATAGGATACACGTAATAATATCCTCCAGATATTATTAATTTTTATACATTATACTTTACTCACGTATAGTCGTCACGTGGAGATACAACCACATACGTATACGATTAACGCGGGCCAGGAGGTTTGGTTCTCCGCGCCCAAGAATAACCCGATAGCGGTGGGATGCGTTTACGCGCGTTTGGAGATTAAACGGGAAAAATCTCTGGGTGGACGGTATACGACTCGTGTCGATGAACGCTTGGCCGATAAAAACCAATAGATCACAGGCACGTTATATTATATGAAAGAATTTTTTTTTCCTTTCCTAAACTCAGGACCTACCGAGAAAAATCCACCTCGTATCCTTTATACAGCCATCCCGGAAAAATACCCAACCGATCACCTTATTATATCATACCGAGGCGTTGAAGCACCTAGAATCCCCGCACGCAAAATAATTTTTAAAAAAACACCGCCCTAGTAAGCAAGCGACCCTGCGATATCTCTGCAACTTTGTCGTTGAACAATTTTTTTACCTCTCACCTCGTCGTACCGTATAGTCGCAGAGTCTCTTATTCGGCGCTTTCGTGTATTGTGCATGGCTCGCTAAAGGATTGGTAGAGTTACATTCAAATACAATTAAATTCACCCATGCACCCTTAAACAACTCTTGTATCTTTCGAAGCAGGTTGGGCCAAAGATCTTTTTTCCTCGTTTTTCTCGTGAAATTACGCATCTAAGGACCAAAAACGGCTCGGATGGACTATTGATACGGTTACGTCCGCGGTGGCTCGTGCTTCTCCTGGTGATAAGTATGAAATTATACCATTAGCACACGCGCATTTTGCGGTGTATACAGGAAGGAGGGAAAACGGATGCGCACGTGTATATATTATGTATAAAAGCCGCGGTGATACTTACGCTACGGTAATCTCGAAGTATAAGTATCGGGTTCTGTTGTGCCGCGACGAATCAAAATCCCCGGCCTGCATAAATATATACAGCGCGACCACAGCTTTCCCTCGGCATCGCCTCCTTCTCATCTCCATGCCTTTTCTCTCGTGCATAATCACACGCTCCACATGCACCCGTATGTACATGCATATACCCGCATTTTCCGGTAGCTCTCCCCCCACAGAGCCAACTATACCGCGTGTTTCTACACCCTACGCGTGGATACCCCGGATTGAAGGAGGAAAAACTCTTAGCGAGAGGAAAAAACGAAACGCAACAGCATCCGAGTTGCGTTGGCATACATCGGAGCAATGTTTAGAATAAAAAAAAAAGGGTTACCCAGTGGGGGAGAGGACAAATTTCTCCCATGGCGAAAGAAGAGAGAGAGGCTGCTACTGCCTTATACTTCTCCCTCTTCTTATTCTTCTTCTTCTTTTTTTTTTCCACTCGAGAGGAGGAAGAGGAGGCACGAATGTGCCGCTTCTAAGCGACCTCGGCTCCTTCGCTGGATATGTATTATATAGAGGTACTGCATATTATACCCTTCACGGATCGCGTGTGTGCGGTTGTGGCAATACATTTATACAAACGACATTGCGTAACAACACACGCACACGCACACGCCTCATATATTATGGAGTTACGCTCGAGGGGGTATTAGTTTTTTTCAGCCTTGAGTCGAGCACAACAACGAAGGAGAGAAAGAGAGAAGAGGATGGGGAGGAGGACGGAAAAAAAAAAAAAAAAAAAAAAAGAATACGTATGAGGGCATGTATGTATGGTGCGTGTGGATGAAGGAGAAAGGCGATAGTGGAAGAGGAGACGCACGAGAAGGATAAATAAGGTCAAGAGGGAACAAGTGAATTCCACTGCCGTGCCCCGCTGCTCTATATATAGCCTCTCTTCTCTCCTTTCTCTCCCTATTTGTTTATACGAAGCTTTATTCCATGGACACATTTCTTTCTTGTATACTGCTGATTAATTGATGTGTGTTAGGGTGAACATTTATATAGGCTTCGACATTTGCGTGCATTTTTTTTTTTTTTTTTTTTTTTCTACTTCTTTAGCAATGAATTGAAGAAAAAATGAAAACGAAGATAGCGCGCGACAAATAATTTTAGTTCTCGAAGGAGAGAGGAAGGAAAAAAAGGAACCGAGGACTCCTCGCGCGCACGTGCATGATGTATACGTATACGCACGATTCATCCGACGCGTTTACCGAGAAATCAAACAAATATATATGTATATATATATATATAACGTGTGGTAGGTATATATATATATATATATATATATATACACACACTCCGAGGACGGGTCTAAGCTGCTGGTTTATCGGGTTTTTTCCCTCCGATCGCTCACACGAGAACCCATGGTGTTCGTTTCCTTTTTTTTTCCTTCTTACGCTGATACCCTCCAGCCCCGCGGCTGATGCGTGCGCGTATACTCGCGCTACAAAAACTTTACACACGCGAGTTCATAAATACGATACTCGTTGCTGCTGTTCTCACTCACTTCCCCGTAAGTATTTGCTTCAAGTTTTACGATTTTCCGCAGATAGTTTATGATCTGTCATTGGTGCCACGATAATTTCATTAGGGCGTTTCTTTTAGTTTCTCTCATACGGGAGATGACGCGTGGAAATGATCGATCGGAGATGAATATACCAGAACAGGTTTCCGCGCTTCTTTGCGAAATCCAGAACTCGCGTTGTAAGTTATGCTCGTAGTAGAATGAGTGAGTTTTTTTTTTTTTTTTTGAAAAAAGTGAAAAATGATTTAGCAAAAGAGGAAAACTAATCAAAGGATTTTCCTCGAGAATGTGTTGTTTTACCAACGAGGTACACCTGGAGTTGCACTTCCGCGCTCCGGCGCTCCACACACGTGTACCGTATACATCGACCTTGGAGCGATTGCTCGTTTCCTACACCGAATTCCTCCGAGTTGCGACATCGACGGCATTGTAAACTCTTGTACAACGCACGGCTATACGTGTTTTTGAGCGTTTCTATTTTTTTTTTTTTTTTTTTTTTTTTTTTCTCGCTACCGCGCGTTTTAAAAATAAAACTCGAAAGAAAAAAACGCACCGTATCCCACGAGGCGCTGACACGTGTGGAAAAGTTTTGGGTACGACTAAACTTTTATTACCAGTCGGTGGCTGCAGGTACCGAAAAATGTAATTTATCTTGAATACGTTATCGGAGAGGAGGCCTGTCTGTTCAGCATCGCGCCCGGAAGCACCAGCTCTGCCCTAAATGAGAAAAAAAAAAAAATATGATAATTGTGTTCCTCGATGAGGCGCACATGGAAATTCACTCTATAATAATTCATCGGACCTCCCATACAAAGCGTATATTTTTATGTTGTGTAAAGAGTTTGTGCTACTTCGCGTGTTATACATATGATATATAGGTGCTGCCGATTATTTACCGAGATATGAGAGTAAAAAATTACGGGGTTACTGAGAAATTTCGTTTAATTTAGAAATTTTGGAGAAAAATTATACCCGACTTGATATTAGTTGTTCGTTATACTGCCAAGTTTCGGAGGGATTCTCAAAAAAATTAAATCTTAAAATCGGTATCATACATAACATAGGCTCTTCTGTGGAGCTGTCATAAGGACAAATACACTTTTTTCAATTACTTTTTCGCTTTAAGAAACAAACAAGGAATTCTTTAAAAAAAAAAAATTAATATGTCATCTTAAACCGTCATTAACTTTAGAATATTATATCAAAATTTCAAAAAATCTAATTGTGGTGCTTGAAAGATATAGTTAATCGTTATTAGCATAAGTGGTATGGGCTAAAAAAAAACAGATTATAAACTTGGTTTAAAAGGGGCACTTTTTGATAAACTCTCCAATATAAATCGGCTTACACAAATTGACGAATGTAATAATACCGATGAAACCTTTATGGTGATAAAAAACTTTTGATACATCGACCTACTGTATTGGGTTTGGTTAACCTCGTTTTAGTGGCAATTCATCGTGGCATCCTCAAAACTTCAACATTGGTTTATGAATAATTTTTAAAAACCAATGAATTTTGAAGATGAACGCTTACCTGGTAAATTGAGATAAAATGCAGATTTAAATGCTCGAAAATTAGCTCAAATCAACAAATGGTCAATGTAGTAAAATGAAACGTCGATATGTCAGTTAAGTGGAGGTACCAACCAAAAATTTACCAAAAATTTCATTTTCAAACACTATACTGTTTATGCTACAGTATATATATATTATGTACAAGCCTTAATCTGCGCGGGAAATCAGACGACCGGACGTGACGTACTTCTAAACGAGCATCACAATGACACAGTTGGGCGTGTTCCGAAATACTCTTCAAAGTTTCGATCACTTATCGCTAACTTAATCACGACTCAACAGTTGTATTATCGAAGTATAATAGGTATACGCGGCATCGACATTCGTGAGCTACGTCATTTTAAACGCGTCCACTCTCAGTCATTGACGCGAAGTCGAGTTATCAGCAACGAAGTTAAGACTTGTAAGTCTTATCGCGCCAAAGGCAACGCAGAGAACCATCCCACACAACGAGCACGTTTTACAGTAAGTACAAGATATAACATTTGTCGTATAATATAAGCACATGATTGGATATACAAGTAAGAAACAAAACTGTTAAAATTGGAAAATTCGACAATAGAAAGAAAAAAAAAAATTATTTTGGGGTTGCATCACGTGGACTACGATGAATTTACTTCACCCAGAACCGTTCTAGTGCTCGGCACGATTCTAAATATACCGTAGACGTATGCATTTCAAAACCCCGAGGTATACGCGCAAGTGTGTAATCTAATCTAACGAGTCCGTTTGACGATTAGAAAACGCGGTGGCCACGTATGCGCACGAAGCACGTCGACAAAAAACCTAGTTGAAAAAAAAAAAAAAAAGAAAAAAGAAAAAAGAAAATATAATTTATAAATACTCGATATAGCTGGTCGAGGAGTATCATCTGAACAACAAAAATATAAAGTTATTGAGTATTGTTTCTAGCTTTTGTCCTGCCTGCGCCCACGTGAAGAGATAACAACATGGTCTCAGAGAACGACGGCAAAATGGCCCGAGTGATCAAGATTCTGGGGCGCACCGGGTCCCAGGGTCAGTGCACCCAGGTGAAGGTCGAACTCATGGGGGAGAACCGGCAGCTCATCAGGAACGTGAAGGGCCCGGTGCGCGAGGGCGACAACTTGGTACTTCTCGAGTCAGAGCGGGAAGCCAGGAGGTTGAGGTGAAAACCTTGCATCTCTGCCCACTGTTGACCACACACAGGTAAGATCGTTGTTTCCAACTATGATTAATTTTTTTTTTTTTTTTTTTTTTTTTTTTTTTTACCACCGATATATAGCTGATGCGTGGGTGATGTGTTTCGAGGTTACTTTTACTACGGATACGTAACACGTGTTTTTTTGTTTTTCCACGCCTGTTTCAGAAGGTATCCAATTTTACTCTTCCTATGGATCATCAAACAAGGATGGGAAAAAGTAATACTGCTGAATACAGTTTAACATGAAGTTTAACTTCCACCCAATGGTTTGTCAACAGTGATAATAAATGTTTAAACAAAATTTCTGGCCGCTTAATTGTTATTGTTTATTGACCATTTTATCATCGTGCGGCGCTCGCTGTCGTACAATCAGTACCTGATCTCTGTATGGTTACTTGGAGGTGTGCATTGTAATGGGTTATGGAATGTTAGATCACGTTTATACTGCACAAGACACTATAGGTTCGAGAATGTAAATGACGAAAACAATCGTGTCCCATAAAACTGTTTAATAAAGTGGATATGCTTCGTGGATTTTACAATATGGAAATAGACAGTGTTTTACGATTGTAAAAGATCATTATAACGATAGTTGTATTAACACTGGTATATATAATATTTAAGATCTTGACTTTGGTTACGAAATTGTAGTGAAAGACTTACATTGTTGGCTCGATGGAAATCTAAAAAATCTAAAAAATATCTGCATACGCTGATCTTTCTCAATCAGTAAAACTGATACGAAATTTCTTCACCCAATCTTGTAAAATTTAAAACATCGTAGCTCTAACATTCTCTATACAATCATCTTTCTCTAATAAAACATTACTTATTCGAGTGATTTGCTTCTTAACATTTCATGGATTGATTTATAATAAGTGGTTTCTACCTCTAAAAAGATAAAATGAAATACTTGATGAAATAATGAACTACATGATAGTTTACTTACACTTGGAAAACACGTAAAAATTCTTTTGTTGAAAAAAAAAAATATATATATTATTCTGGTTGGTAAAAATATGATCACAATGACACAAAAATAGAGCATGAAATGACAGATTGAGTCAAGACATTGTTGAAAATTGTTTTTCGTTTATGAAAGTTGCACGCAATAAATCATCTTCGACTTTGTAATTCTTTTACACATCAAAATGTATGTTTTTACCATCAATGATTCCCAAACAACAAGCCTTGAAGTTCCGGCTCATCTAAATCTGTCGTATATATTATTCCAACAAATATACTCTTCTATTCTAGACGAGAAGGTAATTAAGTACCTCATCATCGACTTGTTTCATCGGACGTTGTACAATTCTTGATAAGACCTAATAACACAAGAGATAGTTCGATAAAAAATCCAACAGCCGTACATTATACGCTACGAAAAAAGAAAGGAAAAAAAGGAAAAAAAAAAAAAAAAAACCTCGGAAACAGTCATCATCGGGTGAGAAGTGTATTATCTCGTTGTTCTGTCTGTAGTGGTCTTCAAGGCTTTCTGCTAAAACATTTCATTTTCCAGTCTTGGTACATTTTATCTGTGACGCCAATAAAATCCTTAAGGGTATATACAGGTGGTGGACCCACCCGATGGCACGAGAGTGCATCACGAATTCCAGGCACGACTCTCCGGACCAGTTCAATTGTAACTTTGGGTGCGGATCAGCTATACATGTATATAGCCGTGGAGTGTACCTACTTACTTTTCGCAAAGTTTCTCCGCTTGCCGTCGGCTCGACTGGCTTGGGTTTTTTCGACGCGCGCCCGAGCTTTCCCTGCCTTTCGAAAAAGCTCCAACTGAAAGCTCAACCACCCGCAAAAAAATGCGATTCAACAGCTTTTGGGAATAGTGAAATCTCGATCGAGTACGGAAAAGCTCTAGGACGCAAGCTTTCACGAGCGATATTTCTGACGATGAAAAAGTGAAGAAACTCTGGTTGTTCGTGCTCTGCCTCGGAGGAACAATTTCATCGGGCGGGGCGCGCTAAATCGCCAAATACCCGAAAGCTCGGCTATAAAATAACGGGGCAAAAGCTCCCCGAGTCCATAAATAATATCCTCTTGGCATCGCTCGAAGAGGGGCATCGATGAACCGGGCTTCGCGAGAATTCCGCAAATAGCTCTCGCGAGCCGCGGTATCGAGGAAAGGGCCGAGCGGGTAGAGCCGCTGCGAGCTCAGCGCCAATTCGCTAATGTAATGGCTTCGCCATGGATCGATACTTATTGCGGGGAGCTCCTTAGCTTTTGGTGCACCTCTTTTGAGCTGGTTTTTTCGTCTTTGGGGCGTGTTTGGCATACAAGGGGGTGCCTTTGGGCGTGAACGTCGAGGTATGACGGACGCGTAAAATAATAAGCTCCGAGTCGCGAGATAAAAATGTTTCTTCTCCCCCAGGCGTGAAAAAAAAAAAAAAAAAAAAAAAAAAGTAGACTCTATAGGCCGAGCAGCAAAGTGAAATCTGGAAAGCACATCTCGCGAACGAATATAAATTAGATTGCCGGAGCACGGCTGCCACCGCAATTTTTCCATATCCCGGTGAGCGCGTGAAATAATTCGCTGTAAATCAACCCGAGTAGGTATACGTATACATATATACGCTTGCACGCGTACATCGAGCCTCAAGATAGCGAAGGAGGAGAAGACGCGCGCGTCACTTTTTTACCAACGAGCATAGGGATTATTATTTAATTTGGCTGGTCCGAATGGCGCCAAGATGAAGCGGAGAAGAAAAAAACAAAGGAAAGGAAGGCAATCTCGTGCGGAGGTGGTTATCCTCGGGAAGACTATATATGAGCGGAAGAAGAAAAGAAGCTGGCTGCCATTAATCATTCCCCAGATTTTCCGCGTTTGGAAGTTGTTGCTATTCACTGCCATCTCATACATCGTACGGATGGGCCATTCGTTGGTTGTGTTATTATTAATCGCGTATACGAGAGTTGTAAGTGGTATCGTATTATTTTCCCTCTTGATTATTATAGTCATCGCACGCCGCGATCGCTTGGGCTGGTCCATGGTCATCACATAAGAGAAAAATGACGCAATGGTTTTCGCCAAACGTCCATTAGATGAGAAATCATTACGTTTACTCCCAAAGAACAACGCGGAAGTAGGTTTTTTTCATTAATTTTTTTGTTTTTTCTTATCAGGGCTAGAAAATTTTCCCGAGCGATGAAGTATTTTCATCCCACAAAACCTGTGCCACGGACAACAAAAGCATTGGAACTTTTCGCACGACCGTAATAACTCATCGCGTATCAACGTGACATCACCCGATGGGAAAACGCTTTCCGCGCGCATGAGGTTCGAGATGTAACGGAACAAAGACAACCGCGTACACCCATACCGCTGTTGTTATCCGATTTCATTGGCACATGTGGAGCGAAACGATGGCCTGAATAAATTTACTGCTTTATTATTTAGCCGGATGGGTATTTTTTTTTATTTATTTTTTTTTCACGCAACCTCGCGAGAGAAAAGTAGTTTCGTTGGATCGAGAGGAAGGCATGTGTGTTGGTGGATCAAGAAAATTCATGCGCTATAATTACTCTCAAATGGATGCACATTTAGACGAGGATGCGATAACTAATCCTTCAATTCGAGCGAGCGCGGTGTTAATTATGACGTGACCGATCGACGTGTTATATATATATATATGTATGTATGTATGTATGTATATATATGTATGTATGTATGAATGTTCGCGCGGGGAGAGCCAAGTTGGTTGGAAAAGCATATATGCCGAAAATAGACCGGAGCCATGTGGTCTCCCTCCTTCTCTTTCGTTGTCACCCTCGTTCTAATTTCGAGCCACCGTTGGCGAGGCTCTTTTTCGAGCGCTTCCCTCCCACGTCACGTGCGACCGAGGCTTTTCATAAAAAAAAATTTCAGATATTATTATTATAAATACACCGCGTACCTTACACATATATACGTATACCCTTCGTTTACGCGTACACATTCCAAATCAAAGTAACAAATAATTGAACAGCGTCAGTCGCGGTAAAAATAGTTTGCCTCGTGTTGTAAAATCTGTATGGTTAATCTCAGCGGTGTACGTATATACCACCCACGCGGGAGTTTGCGTAAGCTCATTGTAATTACAAGATAAACTACATATATGTATGTGGCCAATAGTTTCCCTGTAGGTACTACACGTATATATATGCACCTGCACGAACAGTAACTGCTGCGTATAATAATATAATGCATTCATATAATAAAGATGTGTACAGAAATTATAGAGAATCATCGTTATATATTTTTACAACTAAAGGTTTTATATAATGGTTTTTTATGTACGTTTGTGTGTGTGTGTGTGTGTGTGTGTGTGTGTGTGTGTGTGTGTATGCACAACTTGGGGGTTTATTATTAGGTATACCGTTCGAGCGGCAACGAGTAGGTACATTTTAAGTTTAACGATGACGTGCAGTCGCTTCTATAATTACATAGGTGGAAACTCATTGCTACGCGCGAACCATTAGACGGGCTTTTTATGTTATTCTTTTTTTTTCCAACACGTTTTTTTCTTTTTTCCTTCGTTATTGACGTAAGTGGTATACGTATATCCATGGGATTCTTCTCCGTTGCATCGAAATATTATTTTCCTACAAACATGCATCAGATTCACGCACAAAGTATATACATATAGATGAAACAAAAAGCCTCTGTCAGAACAGACCATCAATACTATTGCCAGCTGCAAAACCATACAAGACATTTCTATGCAGGTATGTGTGTAGATACGACAGCACCCAACTCTATATGGTTACGTAAAAAAGAAAATTCGTCTTCATATTACACCCACGGTGACCTCGAACATTCTCCAAAGCTGTTTATTGTAAATCGACACCCATATACTCCACTATAGCTGATTGCGGCATCCTCTTTGTCTTTGAAAGAATTGTCCATTCCCATTCCCATAGCTGAGTGCCTAAATTACATAGTGAGTCAGGAAAAAAAAAAAAAAAAAAAAAAAAAAAAACTGGTATCAGCACACTGAGAGGGAAAAAAAAATCGAGCTCAATATCGAGCAATCGAGGCAAATGGGTCCGCGCGATGAATTAAGTTCAATCAATTTGCCAAGCCGAGTTGAAGCTCTTCCACCCGCCACGTTTTCCCCTTCCAAATATATACTTTAATTGAATGACTACTAGAGCAACCGGTATAGTGAAGGATGAGCATGGCTATGGTTGGATATTATCTGCCATCGAACATTGATTGTTTGAATAATATTTTGGTCAACAGTAACGAATGAATTTTTTGTTTGTTCTCATTTCCTCGCACCTTCATGGTTATAAATACCACCT